CACAAAGGGAGACGAGGGCTCATAAATACACAGAGGGGCACACAGGGGGTAAAAGCCATGAAGGGAAAACACTTAGGGAACAACACAACAGGGCAACTCAGAAAACATGGCCTAAATAAGGAACAAAATACAAACATACAAGAAAACCAAGAACACTGGGCCAACATGGCCCAGGACCATGACAGGTATTGCATCTGTGAATCAAAATCTGATGGTACTCTTCTGTGTCCATAAATCTATGAGTTTAGTCATCCCAGCTAACAAAGAGCAAGGGGCAGGGTACACCTCGGACAGGTTGACAATCTGATGCAGGCTCATTTTCCAGTTTCCTAAATTTTTTTAAGGACACACTGCACACCATGCTGAAATATGCCAGGTTTAGGGTAAATAGCTCTTTGCTAGTGCAAAAAAACTATTTTATCCCTGTCAAACTGTGATATTTGGTATTTTTTTATAGATTCAACTAAAGAAATGTGAATATTTTTTGTGACAGGCTACTAATAACAAAGCTTACTATCAATTTAAAACTGGAACTTTGCTAAGATTTCTGTTATCTGTAGATACGATAATGGTTCATCCTTGAGTTTGGTGCATTTTTCCTTGAAAAGGCAGGTATAGTGTTAGTGTTAAATAGCTCAACAGACCAAAAAGGGAAAAAAAAGAAACAAGGAAACCGTTCCTCTGAACACGGTCAAGGACTGGGCTATAAACGAATGAAAAAGCAGCCAATGCGCAAAGAAAATTTTAAAACCTCCAAAAAGCCTGGAGAGCTAGCGCTCATGATCACTTCAAAATTACAAGACAGTCACGCTCCTTGGAATCAAAATATAAGAAAATGAACGGCACTCTGTACAGCAGTGTCAGCAATTCAATTAAATGCCTATAGTGGCATACAGAGCAGCATAAAATATGAATAATCATGAATATTCAGCACCTTTTGTATGTTTCTTTGTTTACTTACAGGTTTCCGTGTGTGTGTGTGTGTGTGTGTGTGTGTGTGTGTGTGTGTGTGTGTGTGTGTGTGTACCCAGAGATCCAGTCCTGTGCAGGCTCAGGAAGGCTCTGTCTCGTTCTAGCCCCCCACCTGGCTCTCTGCGCAGGGCGGTGCGGCCCAGATGACCAGCATATTGACGCAGGAAGGAGGGAGCACTATGGGAGGCGGGAGGGTGTACAGAGCACACCACCATGGGCTCTGAGATTCACAATGAAGACAGACAGCCAAGGAGAAAGAGAGTCCCACAGTGGATGCAAAAGAGAACAGAAAACTCAGAAGGGAAAGAGGTTGATCAAAGAAAAGAGAAAGGGGTTCAGGCGAGAGGAAGAAAACAGTGAAATAGAGAAAAAGATGACAGGAATTGTAAAATGGAATGAGAGAAGAAGAGAAAAAAGATGACACAAAGTCACACACAGACAGGCACAGAAAGGTAGCAGAACATGTAGGAACAGTACAATATGTAGTAGTAAGAGATAAAAGGCTGGAAATGCACACAGCTCCTGTAATCATGCTGTAATCATTCTGTAATTATGTGAGGAGCCGCTGTAGCACGGAAACAGAAATGAAAATAGAAAGTGTACGAGGCATAAGGCATGCATCGTGGAAAATCTGTTGACTCATAGAACTCACAGTGAAGTAGCAGCAGAAAGAAATGCAGACATGCACACATAAAACTTGCAGACACACTGTAGCAGACAGGTCACCGAGCTATGGGAGTAATAATAATCATTGATGTAAGGGCTACAAGAGATTTTTGGTTGTCTGTGTTAGGAAAATGAACACCTAAAGGTCAAAAACTCCTTGAGTTTTTCCAAAGCAAAGCACCTAAACTAAGGACGTTTACATGCAGCATACATGTACTGTCAGCTTTCTTTCACGCAGATTAATGTGTAATTATTGAATTCTGTTAGTAGAGTGTGGGTGGAGGCCCACACGACATAATTCTCTTCAAATTGCTCTTCAAATTTCACTCAAATCACCAAGCAAAGGTAAATTCACCAGCCGAGTTTCTTTTTTCTCCGTTTTACTTAAGCAAAACAAGCTAACTGGTCCAGTAATACACTGACAGAAAGGAACTGCAGTGAACACGAGCCTTGACATTGCTTCTCATTAGCAAGAAAAATGTGAGAAGTATTTTCTACCACTCTTTTGTACAGTTTGACTTATATAGAGAGATGCTGTGCACCCAGGGGGAGAAGGGGAGGATACAGCAAGGGAAAAGGACAGAAGGAGATAGTAATGTAGAGCAGTTGGTTAAAGTTTAATGTCTCTCCTCATCACTAGCTCCATTCCACTCCTTCTCTCACTTGCTAGCTGGACTCTTTGGAAATGACATCGGTTTAGCTATCAAAACAAAAGCAAGGGATGTAAAAATAGAATGAAAAGGAGAAAGAAGCCAGTAAGCAAAAATGAATGGGGTAGAGCTATAGATGCTGCAGCCCAGGAGCTGTAGTGACAGCAACAAGCAAGCATCATCGCTCCTTGCCAAGCAGCCAACAGAACACAGCTATATTTGAACACTTAAGCTTTGTTGTTTTGTTTGACACAAAAACCATCTGCCAAAGCTGAGACAACCTCCTTTCTCCCTATGTTCTGACAAACACATACAAAGATAGTGCCTGGGTGCGAGGTCTCTGATTCTTCCCAAGTGGGACCTGCAGTCACGGACGATGCCCAGCAGATGGCACCCAGAGTGTCTTAGGATGACACTGTTTTTCAGACTTTCTTCTAGAAGCAAAGACATTTTCTATCTCTTATGTGAAAACATGAAGAAACAAACAGTGTGTCTGAGTTCTGACAGATTTGGGAATTCCCACACATTCCCAGCGTACACTGCCATTCAGTCTTGATGACTGAGTGGTTAACTGAATTGTTAGGTTAATTGTGATGAAGATTGTGGTAAAGATGATGATGGTTAACATGGATGGCTTCAGTGGGTTATAGAAGCAGATGAAGCTACCATGAATATGCTTCTGTGTAGCATTTGCATGTCTGTATGACTTTATGAGAGTAGTGGACATGAAAAAAAGTGACAAACACACATTTAAACAGGCACATACAGTTTATGAGATATTTGCATTAAGAAATGTGTTATTTCTGAGAGGGCATCAGTGTAAATGAATGACATAAAGTGAGGAAAAGTGAAAGATCTGCTCCCTTAATTCTGTATGACCTTCATCCATCATAAAGGACCTTTACTTTAACCCTCTCCACCTACACCATCATTTAGTTATTGCTTGGTCTTCTTGTACTGAATAAAAGCTCTAAATGAAGTCGTAATGTCTTGAAATGTTGCAAAACAAGAGCAGGTGTCCTTTAATAACTGCAGTTGCATGAAAAGAAAATCTGCATAACAGATGCTGGAGTCAGACTCTGCAACTCCTACAAGGGTTATGGAGATGACACATCTATTCTTTATCATAAGAACAGTATAAGCTGTTTGTCTGTTTCTTCTACTATACACTGTGTTACTGTAATTCCAGTATATATGTAGGTGCACACAGTGTAGTGTAGTTGAGCATCACAAACACACTACGTTTCAGTCACAAAAATTTTAACTTTGGCTGTTAATTTAACTGTAGGTCTCTGTGCACATACTGTATGTCTGAGTGCCAATGCTTGCTAATGTGTTTGCATGTACATGTGTGAGGGCACTCGTTCACATCTCTCACCATTGTCCCTGGCTGTGGATGCCTCATCCAAGGCCATCTGTTCTGCAAGTTCGGACAGAGAGTCATCAACGGGCCGAGCACTGCGTAGAGACATGGACAGCCTCCGCTTGATGATCTTCATCCTGTCCATCTTTTCAGTCACACCACTGGGGCCCTCAGGCCTGAGGGGGAAGAAAAGCACCACCTTCATTATAATTATATAATCAAAAGCACTACCTGCAACATGTTCAGAGCTGTCATTATCACCATCGGCAACCACCACATCCATGCTACCCTGTTATTCTATCACTGTGCAGGTAAACTATTGCAGTGCAACCCGTGCGCATTTTCTGCATTTCGTTAAGCTCCCAGAGATTCTGTTTGCTCATACAGCCTGTGTCCTCATTGTTATGTATCCCAAGAGCAAACATTGCAGAATAAAAGACAAAGAATGAGATGAAGAAAACCCACGGAGGGGTAGAAAAAGAGAGAAAAAGAAATGTACAAACAAAAAAAGTACAGAAAATAAAACCAAACTGCTGACAATGCAACTTCCCGGAGGTTTCAGACCAGAGCAGCTTTCCCAGATGAGCTGTGATTGACAAGCATTTCACTGGGTGGTCCATAAACTACATGCAATGAATTAATTGCGTATGAACTGCAGTCTAAAGTATTATCAACGCATCGACACATCTACAGCAAATCCTTCAATATTCCATTTTAGCCTGCTGTTCATATGATAACTAAACTGGTGGAAAGTTAGTTGTAAATAAGGCACAGTGTCTATGCATCTGCAGGACAGAAGTATCCCATCCTTAAAATAAATGTGGACAAAGGGACATAGTGTTTTTACAGCAACTTGCTCTATGTATTCAGTGGTACAGCCACACTGTGTGTATTTGTGCTTGTATACCTCTTTGTAAACCTCAGTGAGCTTTCAAATATATATATTGTTTAGGGCGCCTCTCAGTAGACATTTCTATTTCATGAGTGTATGTACAGTACTGTGCCTTTGCATGTGTGGAGTTCTGTGTATGGAAGTCAGTTTGTTATGTCTTCTACTCTCTGCCTTAATGGCCTGAAGGTAGGCACAGCTATGGCAGAGTATTCCTGTCTCCCTTCCACTTCCTGCTCCTTCTATCAAACCCATAAGGGCTTGTGAGCTGGCACGCAGAAGTGCGCAGACACACACTCACACTCACACAGCGACATGGGCAAATACACACTGCACCCACTGCCTTTCTCTTTGTGTCCAACTTTGGAGGCCTCTACAAAAGCCATTCATCCTTTCAGGCTCTACGTTTTTCAGGCCTATTAGAGACAACTAGTGCTCAGAGGGAATTCAAACATTAGCGCTGGGGACAACTGGCCTTTTTTCACCAGAAGATGTGCTTAGGACAATATCTATTGCTCACAACATTGCCTCTGCCAGTTTACATGAGATTACTGTAGTTAGATGTCGTTTACACCTTAGCTGCAAGCTTTTCTTTGAAGATAAAAAAACAAGCCAAAGAAGGGAAAAAACTGAGAAAAAGGAAAGTAACTTGTTTATTTTGTATTATGCGCTACATGGATTATTAGTATGCAATAAATCCCCCCCCCCCCCCCCCCCCCCAATCCTCATTTGCATGCTTTCCCAGACTTCATTAGAGAAGGTGGCTGCTTGGACAAGAAGATTGGGTTCTCCTCACGTAACCTTGGAGTGACTATCCATAAATTTTCAGGAATAAATGAGTCATATTAGGGGGAAACACTTGAGATATAATTTTCTGCCTATTACCCAGATAAATAAATGCCAGTGTTATCATTAAGACAGACATATTGCTGGTATCCAGGCAAGCACACACACATAGACATAGACACAGACAAACAGGCACACAACAATAACCAATTCCCCAGTCTTCCTCTTATCTGGGTTGAATTAGCATGGACAGTAACACAAATCTCAGCATCCAGTGGGTCATACAGAGAAGCACTTCTGGGTATCTCTGTATGTATAGCAAGTTAAGATTTCCAGTTTTATCATAGAACAAAATAAGGGTCTCTAATAGACTGTTATACAAAATAAACACATAGCATTCATTATAAATATTTCATTTTATGGAAATATAGCTTACTTAATCCTCCTTAAATTGTAAGGTTTGTTATTTTTAAAGATGTTTTTTCAGGAAATTCAAGACAGACAGATTTTTTTTCCACTTGATGAGCTTTGTTTAATAAAACTATGAAGCTAAGGCTATACCACATTTTATTCTTAATGACAATATAAGATGTGTTCAGATGTTCCGGAGCGTTTAAGTGCAACAGTGATGGTCAAGAATCAAATTGACTGTGCACTCAATTTTGAGTCTTGTGTGATGCAGATGGAGCTGCGAGTGTGACGAAGTTGGCAGAGCCCCATCAGTGAATGAGATAGGACATGTGGCTCCATGCTGCAGCATGTGCAGACGGACACCTGGCAAACCACAAATAACTCTGCTATGCATAACTCCCACTTAATGGAGGGACGCACTCCAGATGACAAAGGCTACACTCATTCTCTAGGACATTCAAAAGCATAACAAGCACTGGTGTTTTAGCTCTGAAAGCAATACAGAGCATAAACTCATATGCATTAAGAAGGGCTGTGTAATAAAACAACACAAGAGATCAAAGGTCAACGAAGTAATTGATATAAAGCAGGAAAAAGATAAAACCTCTGACTTTCTACCACACTGTGTTTTCACATGCATGTGTGGGGTGGTTGCATGGATATTGTAGCCTGGAGGTGAACTAAAAGACTCCTGAGGAGGAAAGAAGAGGAACAGTCTGATTTATTCAAGACACACCATTTGGGTTGCTAGGTTACAGGCCCAGACTGGAACCGCAGTTTCTGTCTATGAGGTAAAGAGAAAAGGAAAATCGAGAGAGAAAGAGGCAAAAAAAAAGAAGCTGATAATTCAAAATTCGCATCTCTCAGTACTGACACCCAAACATGCCAGTGTCAGCTTCAGAAACTTCCTGCCAAACTTCTTGGGATGAGAGCATAACGGAGCATCATTCATCCAACTTGGCTCTAGGATTATGCCAATTATGACTTCTTCAGAGGAAAAGTAATGAATGGACCACGGGGCCGATGCCTGCACAATGAATGTGTAATATACACACAAGCTGTCCGATGCATTCATAAAACACACATGCACACACACAGAGTATTTCAGCTGTTTGTGTGACCATGGTCTCCATTTTCTTCAGCCATATTGTCTTACATCCAGCACCTATTTTTCTTTTTCTTTTCATTAGAAATAAACAAGCGTTACTCTGAAATTCAATGACACATGAATCATACGCATGCATGCACACACATGCAATGTGGCAGAGTGGAACAGGCACTCAGTGCCACTCCAATGCCACAACATTGCTTTTGCACAGCAGCCTGGGGATGCATGAGTAACACACAAATCTGCCCAACTACAGAATCCGACACACATCCACCCAGACAATAGTCCCTTCTCATTATAAACCCAAGGGCTTCTTGTCTGCATCCCATCACTAAATCTGAATCTCCGGAGACAGATTAAGAGAATAATATATGGAAAGAAGTTGAATGAACAAGCACAACAAAATAACAAATAAAACATATTGGAAAAGACTGAGCAAAAGATCTAGAATGTCATTGTGTGCCATGAGAGGAGAAGAAAGTGTGACTGTATGATTGTTGGCAGATCTGGCTCATGAGGATCAGAGAAAGTACAGAAAGATTAGTACATGTTCATTTCAGCCTTTGCAGTGTGACTGTTATCATTATCACGATATTAATACAAAGGGACTTTAGATACATAAATGGCAAATATATAACTTTTAATCTTACTTATCTCTTCAGACATACCAATATTATGATAACATCATGGTACAATAACATAGATGCAGGCCTATACACAGAAGTAGATCCGAAAAGCTCATTTGGGAACATTGGGAGAACACTACATTACAATACTGTCATCTATGGAAAGTTGGCACAGTTTAACTACTGAATAACTTTCCATCCAAAACGTTATCATTATGTAACAACAACAACAACAACAACAACAACAACAATAATAGTAATAATAACAAGAATACACTGTTCTGAATATAAACTACCTTATTCGATTATAAAAATGAACAACATTCAAGAAAATTCTTCCTACTGTGTAACGAAGTGATTTCCTGGCAATACATCCCCACTTTGAAATAAAGAGCTCTTTGCCAAAGAAAAAGGAAGAGTAGAAGGGTCAGGAACTCATGACCACAAATTAAAATACATATTCAAGATCATCACGCATTATTACTGTTCGTGGATTATTAGTGTCATTTTATTTTATTCGGGGTGCATTGCAAGGGCAACAGAAGTAACGGATGCGCGCAGTGTTCAATCTGGACTTCCCACTTTGAGATGTCCATAAATTATTTAGCGCACAGTGATACTCCCAGCACACTTTAAGGAAATAATGTGGAGCCCTGCGTTCGCCAGTGACGTTAATTGTTCAGCGTGTGCGGTGTGGGTTTATGGCGAACATCCACGAGGTTATCGACAGCACTGCAGGACCGCAGCACACTCTCTCTGGACTGTCACATATACGGGCGAGATATCCCGTACAGTCTCGACGTGACTGCGGGCAGGGCGCACACAAGTGAACAGCACAAAGCAGCCCCCACACAGCACCACGTACAGCAAACACACCAAACATACACGGTGGCGCTCCGGCTCGGGCCTGGCTGGGAGATTCCTCCACCTTCCAGGCCTTTTACAATTTCGGCCAGTTCCTCTCTCCCCGTGTTTTCCTGACGCGAGTATCCGGTAGGAGGAGAATCCAGCAGGGCAAAGAAAAGTTAAACATCCGCCAAGCAAGCTCAGAAACTCAAAGGAAAGGGGGGCTGGGGTCATCTTTGACGCTATCCTGACCTTTAAGTTTCTATTTGAACGGCGTAGGGCGCCGAAATGGTTTCAGACTTTAGGCTCTATTGCCCAAGGGACTTAAATTTGGATTGGACTTTGGTGCCCGTGTCGCCATTTATCGGCTTTATCTGCTACTGCGATTCAGTTTTCTGCAGTGATCTGTCTACAGCACTTCCACACAGACGCGCAATCTGACCCCGGTCACGCCAACTTATAAACGGCATCTTTGTTTAACGACTCGAAAAATAAGCCTACCTGGAACGTCAGGTGATCGGACACCCGTGGTTGGGTATCGATGCTGGTTATTATAACACAGCCAGAACGACGACACGACCGAATATAAACAAACAAACGGGAACCGCTGCCACTGACCTGCTAGTGTTTCTGCTGCAGGAGACTATTGTTCCACTTCTGTATGGTAATCCAGGCAGCACGTTGGGATGAAGCCACTGCGACAAGTTCCTCCAACTACTTTGCTGCAAAAAAAATACACCAGATCGCCTCCAATCCTTCAAATAATTTGCATCGGAGCGCCGTACGGTGTGTCGCAGTGTCCGGTCGCTTGGATGACTACATAGCTGGTCCGCTGTATTTCATTTTTCGCGTTAACTTTCGCTCACAAACTGCACCGTCCCGTCCGGTGATGATCAGCCATGTCGCTGCTGCTGCTGCTGCTGTGTAGATCCCAAGTGGAAGCAGTGGCGTGATCCCGGAAAACAACGCAAGGGATGTGCGTGTGTGAGATACACTGTGAACGTGTGCGTATCGGAGCCTTTCAACATCCACCCCCAAAACCACCAACTCTTAACAGTGTCTTTCTCAGGAAAAAGGGGGAGGTCAGATAGATTAATTCGGGGTAGCACCGTCACCGGGGAAATTAGCTTTCATTATCCAAACCCCATTCCCATCTAAATATGCACCTCAGAGAAAATTCCTAGTGAATAATGCATAGATATTATGGAAATTCAGCAGAATGATCCACCCCTGCATAGTTGGCATCCACATCAAGGAATTACTGCCAAGTTTCGCTTGCCAGCATCAAACAAACACTCCCGAAGATCCATAATCGCGAAGGCTAAATTAAGACTGATTTTATTCGGCAGGGATTTTTTATTTTTTGGTTTTTTGGTTTGTTTGTTATTTGTGCTGGTGTGGATGAGTTTAATTACACTCCTTAAAAGCCCCGTTACATGCAGTAATGACCTTATTAACATTATCAGCTTTATTCTCCTTGTAACGTGGCTACTTTAGAACATACTTGAACAGCTTCGCATGTTTTTGAAGACAATCATTAAAAAAACAATACGTTATTACAGGTGATCCCTTTGTTTTTAGAGGGGATCACCTGGATTCCCCACCAATTGCGTGGGAAATCATAGATGACACAGCAAACAGTTGATGGGGATAACTCTGCCTGCTGAACTTCATCGCCACCACGTGGCTAAAGCAAGAAGCAGAAGCCTGCATTCACGTATAAGACAAATTCTGCAGGGACTGTTTAAAGTAGTCCCTGTACACTTAGCACGCATAGAAGGAGAAAAACATTGTGTCTGGCTTCTAAAACTGCACCAGAACATTGCCTAAACTCTGCGCAACTTATTGCAACAAGATAAGCAACTACAGTAAGCATATATTTTGAAATAAAATTAAATAATAAATACATTTGAGTATGAATGTAGGAAGCATTAAAAAAACGAAAGTACACAAATCATAATAACGATCAAGTAAAATAATTCCAGATATGCCATAGAAATTTTTTCTTATTAACATCAACAAAGACACATGAAATGCTCCCTGTACATTTCCAAACCATACACACTCTATCCATTAAATTCATCTGCCATAAGAAAATGCCACAAACAATAGAGCAGACGTAAATGGCAGTTACATATTTTACACTTTATAATAAATATGTTCTCACATAACAACCATCTTCCTTTTATTTTCCAGCTGCTCCCTTTAGGGGTCCCCAAAACATATCATCTGCCTCCTTCTCACTCTATCACTAGCATCCTAGTCTGTCACACCTCTGCATGCCCTCTTTCACTGCATCCACAAAGGTCTTCCTCTTCCTCCTGCCTGGCAGCTCCATCTTCAACATTCTTTGCCCAACAAATCCACTCTCCCTCCTCTAGACATATCCAAACCATCTCAGGCTCACCACTCTTAAATAAACTTAACAAATTTTACAGCATAATACAATAAATGTCTGCATTGCTTATCAAATTACAAAACACTCTTGAGCAGACAGAAGAGTACAATCTCATTAGCCCCACATCATCATATGATGATTTTTTTTT